CATCTGTTGTTTTTTGACTTTTAGTAGTAGCCATTCTGACTGGTGTGAGATGGTATATCTTGGTGGTTTTTTATTTGCATTTCTCTGATAATTAGTGATGATAAGCATTTTTTCATGTTAGTTGGGCACTTGTAAGTCTTCTTTTGAGAAGTGTCTATTCATGTCTTTTGCCCATTTTTTAATGGGGTTGACTTGCTTGTTGATTTCTTTAAGATCCTTGTGGATTCTGAATATTAGCCTTTGTCAGTGCATAGTTTGCAAATGTTTTCTTCCGTTCTGTAGGTTGTTTACTTTGTTGATAGTTTATTTTGCTGTGTAGAAACTCTTTAATTAGGTCTCGTTTGTCAATTTTTGTTTTTTGTTGCTTTTGCTTTTGGAGACTTAGCCAAAAATTCTTTGTCAATGCTTATGATGAGAAGGGTATTTCCTAGATTTTCTTCCAGGATTTTTATAGTTTGAGGTCTTACATTTAAATCTTTAATCTATGTTGAGTTAATTTTTGTTTATGGTGAGAGATAAGGAAGGGTTCAGTTTTGTTCTTCAGCATATGGCTAGACAGTTATCCCAGCACCATTTATTGAATAGGGACTCATTTCCCCGTTGCTTACTTTTGTCAGTCTTGTTACTATCAGATGGTTGGAAATGTGCAGCTTTATTTCCGAGTTTTCTATTTTGTTCCATTGGTCTTTGTGTCTGTTTTTGTATCACTACCATACTGTTTTGGTTACTGTAGCCATAGAGTATATTTTGAAATTGGGTAGTGTGATGTCTCTGGCTTTGTTCTTTTTGCTTAGGATTGCTTTGACTATTTGGGCTCTTTTTTGGTTTTATATGAATTTTAGAGTTGTTTTTTCTAATTCTGTGAAGAATGTTCATAGTTTGATAGGAATGGCATTGAATTTGTAAATTGCTTTGATAGTATGCTCATTTCAGTGATACTGATGCTTCTACTTCATGGGCATGGAAAGTTTTTCCCTTTATTTCTGATTTCTGATTTCTTTCTTTCATTTCTGATTTCTTTCAGCACTGTTTTATAACTCTCCTTGAGATCTTTCACCTCCTTGGTTAGCTGTGTTCCTAGATATTTCATTTTCTCTGTGGCTATTGTAAATGGGATTATGTTCTTGACTCTTAGCCTGGATGTTAACTGGTGTATAGAAATGTTACTCATTTTTGTACATTGATTTTATATCCTGAAACCCTGCTAAAATCACGTATCAGTTCTAGTAGGCTTTTGACAGAGTCTTTAGGGCTTTCTAGGTATAGAATCATATCATCAGCAAAGAGAGATAGTTTGACCTCTTCTTTTCCTATTTGGATGCCTTTTATTTCTTTCTCTTGCCTGATTGCTCTGACTGGGGCTTCCAGTGCTATGTTGAATAGGAGTGGTGAGAGTGGACATCCTTGTCTTGTTCTGAGTCTCAAGGAGAATTGTTCCAGCTTTTGCCCATTGAGTATGATGTTGGCTGTGGGTTTTTTCATAGATGGCTCTTATTATTTTGAGGTATGTTCCTTTGATGCCTAGTCTGTTGAGGATTTTTTTAAATCATAAAGGGAAATGTTGGATTATATAAAAAGCTTTTCTGTGTCTATTGAGATGACATAGGGTTTTTGCTTTTAATTCTGTTTATGTGGTGAATCACATTTATTGATTTGCATATGTTAGAACCAACCTTGCATCCCAAGAATAAAGCCTACTTGATCGTGATGAATTAACTTTTTTATGTGCTGCTGGATTCAGTTTGCTAGTATTTTGTTGAGAATTTTTGCATCTATGTTCATCAGAGATATTGGCCTGAAGTTTTCTTTTTTAGTTGTGTCTTTGCCAAATTTTGGTATTAGGCTGATGCTGGCTTCATAGTATGAGTTAGGGAGGAGTCCCTCCTCCTTGATTTTTTGGAATAGTTTCAGTAGGATTTGTACCAGTTCTTCTTTACACTTCTGGTAGAATTCAGCTGTGAATCCATCTGGTCCAGAGCTTTTTTTGGTTGGTAGGTTTTTAAAAAAATTATTATTGATTCAACTTCAGAGTTTGGTATTGGTCTACTCAAGATTTCAATCTCTTCCCAGTTCAATCTTGGGAAATTGTGTTTCCAGGAATTTATCCATTTCCTCTAGATTTTCTAAGTTGTGTGCATAGAGTTGTTTGTAGTATTCACTGAGAATCTTTTGTATTTCTGAGGGATCAGCTGTAATATCATCTTTGTCATTTCTGATTATACTGATTTGGATCTTCTCAGAGACATTCTTACCAAATTCAAGGTACTGTCCAAATAATGCTAATGCTAATAGGACTATTTGGTATGAAATGCTATTTTGTAAAAAGTACACTGTTAGGTTGTTTGAGTTGCTATAAAAAAATACCATAAAATGGGTAGTTTGTAAATGACAGAAATCTAATCCAAGATCAAGTCCGGAAGATTCAATGTCTGATGAGGACCTGTTTCCTCATAGATGGCTATCCTCTCAGTCTGTCCTCACATGGTAGAAGGGGTAAGGGGTCTCTCTTGGGCCTCTTTTATTTATTTTTATTTTATTTTATTTTATTTTATTTTATTTTATTTTATTTTTTGAGACAGAGTCTTACTCTGTCAATCAGGCTGGAGTGCAGTGGTGCGATCTCGGCTCACTGCAAACTCTGCCTTCCTGGTTCAAGCGATTCTCCTGCCTCAGCCTCCCGAGTAGCTGGGATTATAGGTGCGCATCACCACGCCTGGCTAATTTTTCTATTTTTAGTAGAGACGGGGTTTCATCATGTTGGTCAGGCTGGTCTCGAACTCCTGACCTCATGATCCGCCCACCTCGGCCTCCCAAAGTGCTGGGATTACAGGCATGAGCCACTGTGCCCGGGCTGGGCCTCTTTGTATAAGGGCACTAATCCCATTAATGAGGATCACCTCCAAAAGGCCCTACCTTCTAATACCATGATATTGGGGATTAGATTTCAACATGTGGACTTTGGGGGATGTGAGAACTCAGTCCACTGCAACTCCTGACAGTCGCATCCATCTCCAGCTTCAAGTGACAGGGCATGCCGTCTCCTTTGCTCTCAGAGTACCTTCTGTACTTGTTTATTAGAGGATTTTGCTTCATATTGTGTTCATTTATCATTCTCAGAGGATTGAATCTCTTGAGAGCAGCATCCAGCCTATATGATTATTTGTTGTGCAAATGAATGAAAACAAAAATAAATGACATGTGGCACACTCGCTCACCTTAGGAGGCACCATCGTGTGCTGGTTTAGAGCATGAACTCTGAAGCCCACACCACCTGGATTCAAGTCTTGGTTCCATCATTTATTAGCTGTGTGTCCTTAGACAATTGTGGTGCATCTAAGCTTTGTCTTTTCAAATGTGGAGATAACTATAGTTCCTAACTCTTACCATTTTTATAAAGATTAAATGAGATTGTATATACAAAGTGCTTAAAACAGTGCCTGTATACAGTAAGTACTGTATAAATGGTTTCTACTATTGCTATTATCCTTTTTTTTTTTTTTAAATAGCGATGACATGGAATAGTGTGTGCCCTTAGAAAATTCATTCTAGAATTCAATCCTTAGGGTACCAAAATGAAGAAGTGCTTTGTCTCCACTTTGGGTTCAGGAACCCCAGAGTATGGGAAGGGGTGGTGGAGGTCCTCAGTACATCACAAAGTTGAGGATGTTTGTATCTTTATCACTCATCAGGTTGCCAAGGCTCATGGTGAACTAATAAACAGCCTTTCCTTTTGGTTAGAATCTCTCAATTCCACATAGCAACTCTTTTACCTCAGGCTGGTTGTGATTCATCTTAATTCAGAGGATAAAGAAATTAATCATTGATTAGTCAAGTTGATTTGGTAGCTGAAATCTTTAACAACAGTGATCCATGCAAGAGATAAAAAAGGGATGTGGATGATAAACAGAGGGGGCAGGCAGGATTGAAAGATTTTTGAACTAGAAGGGACTGTTTAATGATTTTTATTCTTTGTATTTTTTGAAGTGTTCTGTTTAATATTTAATATGATTGATTGTATCTAGCTGTTGGCCTTATATTTATCTTTTAGTTCCCTCCCACCCCAGCATTTTATTATGTAAAATTTCTAGTATACAGCAAAGTTAAAGGAATTTAAAGGTGAATACCTATATGGTAAACACATAGATTCTAACATTAATATTTTGCAATGCTTGCTTGATCACAAAGCTGTAGTTATCCATCCCTATGTATACCCCCAATCTACTTTATATTTTTATATGCTTGGTTAGGTTTATTTTATTATTTAATCATCCATATGGGAGAAGTCAGTGTTTTATACTCATCCTACAGAAACTAATAGTGGTAAATAAATACATGAAGCAATGCTTTTAGAGAAGTATGGAGTAAAAACTGCTCTCACTGGAGGGGTTCTTTAAGAATCAAGGTGGGGCGAGGGGAAGAAATGTGTAGGTGGAAAAATAAGCCCTTGGGAAAATAATTCAATATATTAGATAACTCATTAAAATATTCTTTTTGATATATTAGATTTTTAGTTTCACTTTTCAAGCTATGCAGGCTCAACTCTTATTGTTTCCAGTAAATGGCAACATAACTGGGGCAGAAAAGGAACTAAGTTAAAAAAAAAAGTTTTAAAAAAATATCCTTGAAGTTGAAGGCTAACAATCACGTAACACTAACGCCTAAGATATCAGTTTGTGTCAACTTTCCTTCCTCTAGACAAGTTATTACATCGAATTGCCTGGCTTTCCTTTTCATCACTGGTATAGAATCCACAATGCTAATTCTTCTGGAGTTCTGAAAGCAGCTCCAAATGGCATGAATAGGTCATAGGGCAAAATCTTGATTATGATTCAAAAAGAAGGCGTAGTTACTTTGTTCTTCATGAACCACGGAAACACACACTAGAAAGCCATACTTGTTTTGGAGGACAGTGTTTGGTTGCTGCTGTTTTCTGGCAATGCATGTTTACTAGAAACAGAGCTGCAAAGTTATTAATGAACATTTATCCATTTCACTTTCAGTTCACTTCTTCAGTTGAGATGGACATGATATAATCGCCATTAAGTCAAAGAATGGCGTCTAGTCCTGAGCTTCCCACTGAAGATGAACAGGTTTCCTGGGCCATCGACGATCTCCATATTTCATTGCAAGGTAATTAAGATTGGGTGGGGGTAACACCTACAGAAACTGTGGAAACCTTATTTTTATCTAGTTGCGAATCATACTGATTTCTGTCTCTCTTATGGAGATAAATATATCTGTATTTTTCCAACTGTAGAAACCTTTTAGTATATTTAAATGTCTTTATTTCTGTCTTAGCTCTCTGGGAAAGTAAGGAATACCTGGAAGGAGTTTACTATCTCCAGTTTCTTACTGAGTGTATGTATTTTATTTGCAGTGAAAATTAAATAGTAAACTGTAGTTTGCTTGGCATTGTTTGTACTTACTTCGTATCTTTTTGTGTAGCTTCTTTTAAATGCACAGCCGGGCACGGTGGCTCATGCCTGTAATCCCACCCAGCACTTTGGGAGGCTGAGGCAGGTGGATCACCCAAGGTCAGGAATTTGAGACCAGCCTGACCAACATGGGAAAACTCTGTCTCTACTAAAAATACAAAATTAGCCAGGTGTTGTGGTGCATGCCTGTAATCCCAGCTACTTGGGAGACTGAAGCAGGAGAATTGCTTGAACCTGGGAGGCGGAGGTTGCAGTGAGCTGAGATTGCACCACTGCGCTCCCGTCTGGGCAACAAGAGCGAAACTCCATCTCGAATGAATGAATGAATGAATGCACATCCTTATTTTGTCCTGATAGGAAGAGAGGTAATATTATAAATGAGTGACCTTTCACTCATGTGAATCATGTGTGCGTGTATATAAGGGCTGTCATTTTTAAAAAAGTACTTCTTGTGGAGTTTGGCAATGTTTGTGTTGTACTTTGAAAATTCACTAGCCACTAGACCTTCTACCTTTGTTGATGAAGCAAATTTTGGAGTTGAGTAAAGTTAGCTAATATAAAAGAAATAAGGCTATTTCTTTGAAAATATTTATGCAACTATGTATTTTAAAGTAATTTTAAGATTATGGGCAGTATTGTGCAGCATTTTTAGAATGTTACTTAAAGTCATAGATTCTAAGTCATTTATGGTAAAGATGTCAAAATTACTTTTTTTCTGATATTTTCCTTTAAATTAAAGATCTGTTTTGATGCCATATTGAGTGATTTGGCAAAAAAAAATCTGTTTTGAATGATTTGCTTCTATATTTTGAGCTGAGATGGAAATCAATAGCTGTTAGAATAGACAGTATCTGTATGTATCAGCCTTTTCAAAGTAATTATTGTATAATTTGTATAGAGTAAGAAACATTTAAATTGTTGAGAGGTTATACTTGAGGTAAGAATTTTTAAAATTTTCAGTAAGGACTTAAAAAATAGTGTCTGAATATTCAGATGTGGTTGGAATCAAGCTTTCATTTAACTGGAAAAAAATTCTTGTTTTTCTATGATGTTTTGGTTGCATGTGATGTTTTGGCTGCAATAAAATAGGTAAATCAAATTTCTAATGTTGGCTCTGCCAATCACTAGTTCTTTGAACTTGGAGGAGAGACTTCATCTTTTGAGTCTCAGTTTCCTCATTTGTAAAATGTGAATGAGAGTTCCCACACTGCAGCTGCATTTTGAAGATGAACAGTAAGGGAGACAAAGGGGCTTAGCACAGTGCCTCACACAGACTAGGGACTCAATATGTACATCGTACTTTCTTTTTCTATATTTATGGCCAAAATCTTAGTCTCAAAGTTATTTCTTGTCCAAGAGCACATGGCTGGAGTAGAAACTTCATGATATATAGGAAAAAATTGTAAACCAGACGTCTGGTTTTTTTTTTCTGCTTTTTCATTTGTTTGTTTTGTTTTAACATTTCTATTCAGTGGCTCCCTATCATGTGTGGAATGAAGTCCAGACTTCTTGGCATGGTTCAGGCTTTTGCTGGTCCAGTGCTTGCCTTTCTCTCTGCTCTTATCTCCCACCATGCCCCATAAGCACTCTGTGCTCCAGGCCCACGGTTCCTTTAGGGGCCATACTCTCCCTGGTCCGCCAGCCTGTGTTCTTTCATTCAGATTGTTTCCCTTGTAGCTCCCCCGGCCCCTCCTCCAGCAGCAGAAATCATCCTCCCATCCATCCTTCATACATCCTTTATCCATTCCCAGGTCAATTAGAATCAGTTTCCTCTGTGAGCCCCGCTCTCTCTTAGGCTGAGATAATGTGCTCCCTCCTCTGTTCTCCTGTAGTATCTCTTTGAGCACTTGTAGTATTATAATTATTACACATATCAAGTAATATTTTCTTCCCCACAACAGAGTGGACATTTTGACTTTTATATAGCATGCTATAACTTATGTAGCACTTTTGCATACATTATCTCATTTGATCCTCACAACCACATTATGAGGTAGATTTAAGAAAAATCTTTGACAATTGAGAAAGAAGCTGTGGCTCAGAAAGAATGAATTACGTGCCCAGAGTCCCACAGCTAGTGAGCAGCGGAGCTGGGTTTTGACTAGGACAGTTTTCTTTGTATTGTTCCATACCCTCTTTGATACACTTCAAAGAACAGTTTGAAAGAGGGAGTTTCCTTAACAACTTTTCCTGGAAAATTCATTAAATCTTAGCCTTAACCTGTTCAACCCATAGCAAGTTTTCACATCCAGAATATGGATGGACATCTTTAAGTAATATTAGTGATCTCAGGCTCATAAGTAGCTCAAAATAATTAGCAAATTACTGAGAAATGAGTGGTTTCTTATAGCATGTTTTGAATTATAGTAGTTGTACAATCTGCTTTCCAATTGGAGAATAGTATGGACTGTTTTGCAATGTAAATGTGATATACATGCACTGGTCAGTCTGAATGATTTCCTTTCATGATGTATTTAGAGGAATTGTGGCGCTGGACACATTGCTGTCTAGGGGGACTGGTGGAAAGCCAATACTGTAATGTCAAGGTGATGCTGGGTAGTCTGTTCACATTAGCCAGGTACCCTCAAGAGATATCAGCCAAGAAGTTCCCGTGCCTATAAGATGAAGGCTTTATGGCAAAATGAATAGATTTCCCAAAGTTAAGTTCCATATTGTTATCAGTGAATTTGTAATGATTCTTTCAGCCTAAGTTGTTAAAGGAAAAAAGGAAAGGAGGGAGGAAGGCAGAAAAGAAAGCAGACACTTGTATATATTTCTGAAGGCACCTTTGCTTTCATAGCAGGATTATTAGCTATTTGAGAAAAAGAGTTGATGGACAATATTATCTGCATGAAGTACTACTGAACCAAGGGCTGTCACACAGCAAGCAAACTCGTATTTCACAAAATTCACATGTGCTTAATGATCCCTGGAGTAATACGAGAAAAGAGATTTCATGTAATATAAGAGGCTCAGGATCACTGCTCATAAGAAAGTTTTTATTATTATTTTTGTTTCAGAACCTTTTCTTAGAGGCAGATAGAGACAGTAGAATGGCCTAATTAACTGATACAGTCTGCTTTATTTTAGCAAAAACTTAATCTAAGGTGAGACAATTGTGGCAACACCCTGACTCAGAATAACACATGCAAGAAAAGATTAAAATGTCTGAATTGAAATGTAGTGATTCATCATTAATATGTTATGAAAGCAGATAGCCCATATGTACAGGGCCTAAAAGGAATCAGCCCTGAAAATCAGGCTGTGCTTTGCCGAAATTCATAGAGCACGACGATAAGCAGGTGACTTCATCTTTCTTTTCATTGATTTTTTTTGTGTGATCTTTGAGAAAATATCTTTGTAAAGCCAATTTGAGGGTACCCTCCCTCTTTTTTTTGAGCGAGGGTCTTGCTGTGTCACCCAGGCTGGAGTGCAGTGGCATGAACACGGCTCACTGCACTCTCAAACTCCTGGGCTCAAGTGATCTTCCCACCTCGGCCTCCCAAGTAGTTGGTACTACAGGTGCACATCACTGTGCCTGGCTAACTATTTTATTTTTTGTAGAGATGGGGGTCTTGCTATGATACCCAGGCTGGTTTTGAACTCCTGGACTCAAGTGATCCTCCTACCTCAGCCTCCCAAAGTGCTGGGATTACAGGTGTAAGCCACCATACCTGGCCCTGAGGATACTCTTTATAGGTAGATATTTATGTTTTCTGCATGTAGTGAAGAGGATGGTGTTGGACTGTTTGAATGGTTAGGAAGAGAAAGGAATGGTATTTATGAATTTGAGTGGTTTTGTATAAAAATGGAATTCATTTTAGTTTAGTGCATTATGTATTACTCTGGGCAGTACACATTTTATTTATTCATATATATATATATGTATGTATATTTTTTTCTTTTTTCTTTTTTCTTTTTTTTTCTGAGACAGAAACTTGCTCTATCACCCAGGCTGGAGTGCAGTGGTGTGACCTCAGTTCACTGCAACCTCTGCCTCCTGGATTCAAGTGAGTCTTCTGCCTCAGCCTCCTGAGTGGCTGGGATTACAGGTGCCCGCCACCACGCATGGCTACTTTTTGTATTTTTAGTAGAGACCATGTTGGCCAGGTTGGTCTCGAACTGCTGACCTCAAATGATTCGCCTGCCTTGGCCTCCCAAAGTGCTGGGGATTATAGGCGTGAGCCACCACACCTGGCCAGCAGTCCATATTTTAAATGATTTTGAGATATGGAAATTCAGGCTATTAAAATGATAATAAATGGCTGTTTAAAACTTTTTAAATTAAATTAAATTTAATTTTTAATTT